TGCTCAACTGCTGAGCCACACTGTCCGGGTCTGAGTCTTACTTTATAAAGATGGTTGAGTGACAACAGAGAGAGGTTAATGCCATTGAAAAAAAGTTTAGTTATAGTTTCCTGAGACACTTGGGGAAGTACCAGAATGAGTAGGAGGCAGAAATGAGTGATGGGCCCTGGCTGATGAGCGTTGTCCTGTGCACCAGGGGATCACAGGTTCAATTCCCGATCAGGGCACATGGCTAGGTTGCAGACTCAATCCCCTCACACAAGGAGGGGTGTGTGTGGGAAGCAACCGATCTATGTTTCCCTCTCTTTCTCTCTCCCTCTCCCTTCCTCTCTCTCTAAAAAATAGAAAGAAAGGAAGAAAAATGAGTGATGGGAAGGACTCAGCCACACCCTTTATTGGAGTTTCCAAGGCAAAAATAAGGCCGAAAAGGGAAATCACTTAGGATCTGCCAGTTTGAATAATTCTAGTGGGCTCTAGACTCCAAGGGTGATTTAGGGCAGGGGACTATGGCCCTGAGTGTGAGATTAGAGAAAGTGTGTGGCCAGGGTTATAGATCCCAGATTGTTTGGTTTGCACATGAGAGGTGTGCCCCTAGGCAGGCCCTTTGCCTAATCTAAGAATTGGCTAGTCCTGGGCATCTCTCCCCCATTGTCAATCCTGAGAGGTCCCAGTGGACATACAAACCATGATGAGTGCTCAGCCCCCCTCTACTTCCCCAGGTGGCAAAACCCCCAAGGCCAAGAAGAAGGCACCAATGACTAAAGCAGGCCGGAAGAAGAAGAAGAAGAAAGGGTCAGATGATGAGGCCTTTGAGGACAGCGACGATGGGGACTTTGAGGGCCAGGAGGTAGACTACATGTCTGATGGCTCCAGGTAAGGCAGCCTGGAGGCAGATGTGAGAGCCTGGGCCAGCCTGGATGGCTCACTCACCCTCTTCCTGTTTTTTTATCTTACAGCAGCTCTGAGGAAGAGCTGGAGGGCAAGCCTAAGGTCACCCAGCAGGAGGAGGGCCCCAAGGGCGTGGATGAGCAGAGTGAAAGCAGTGAAGAAGAGAGCGAGGAGGAGAAGCCGCCTGAGGAGGACAAGGAGGAGGAGGAGGAGAAGAAGGTGCCCACACCACAGGAGAAGAAGCGGAGGAGAGGTGGGCTTGACTTTTGAGGCTTCTGCCCCCTCTGCTCCCTCCCAGACCCCCTTATCTGAGATAGAGTTGAGGGTGGGTATTGGTGCCTCTGGTCCTGACATCCCTTCTTTGGCTCCATACAGACAGCAGTGATGAGTCTGACAGCTCAGAAGAGAGTGACATCGACAGCGAGGCCTCCTCAGCCCTCTTCATGGCTGTAAGGCCCAGCCCCCAGGGTTAGGGGGAGGGGTGTTGGCTTTGGTGTCTGTTTCCAGATTCACATCCTCAATCCTGAACTTTGCAGAAAAAAAAGACTCCTCCCAAGAGGGAGCGGAAGCCATCAGGGGGCAGCTCGAGAGGCAATAGCCGGCCTGGCACACCCAGCACAGAGAGTGGCAACACCTCCTCTACCCTTCGGGCAGCTGCCAGCAAGTTGGAGCAGGGTAAGTAGCCTTCCTGTCCCACTGTGACTTTTTGACCTCTCTTCTTGTTCTGCACATTGAGCATCAGGATCTGAGGCCAGATCAAGGGGCAAGACACCTATCTGCTCCTGAGCCCCTTGTATCCATAATCCAGGCACCACTCAGCTTGGTGTCCCTCCCGCCCCCGTCATGTCCACTCTTCTATTTCTAATACTCAGTCCTGCCTCTGCTCCTACAGGAAAGCGGACAAATGAGACAACAGCCGCCAAGCGGTTGCGGCTGGACAGTGGGCCCCAGAGCCTGTCTGGGAAGTCAACCCCTCAGCCCCAGTCTGGGAAGTCAACCCCCAGCAGTGGGTAAGTTGGCAAGGACAGCAAGGGCAGAATGGGTGCTGCTGGGAGGGAGGGTATCCCATTCACCTTACCCCTCTCCACTGGGCTCCTCAGTGATGTGCAGGTGACTGAAGATGCTGTGCGCCGCTACCTGACACGGAAGCCCATGACCACCAAGGACCTGCTGAAAAAGTTCCAGACCAAAAAGACAGGGCTGAGCAGTGAGCAGACAGTGAATGTGCTTGCCCAGATCCTCAAGCGCCTCAACCCTGAGCGCAAGATGATCAACGACAAGATGCACTTCTCCCTCAAGGAGTGAGGGGCTGGCCCCTATCAATAGCCCAATAAATAAACTGTAGTATCCATAAGTTCATGGGCTCTTGAATTCTACACACTCACTGCCATGGGTCCCACTGTCTGTCACCCTGCTCCTTAAATCCCAGGACCTGGCATTAATAAGTTGGAAAAACCTAAACAGTGTTCTCAATTTACTTCTCCCATCCTCCTAGAACCCTCTTTCTGGAAACTTTAGATGTCTCTTAGAACTTATTTGTACATAGGGTGATTTCTTCAGTCCTGTCTTCCACTTTGCCTGTTCCCTCTTCAGCCGTGGCTTATTTACCACCAACCCAACCCATTTTGTGCTTAGTTTCTTGTTTGTTTTTTAAATGTTTTTATTGATTTTAAAGAGAGGAAGGGAGAGAGACAGACATGAGAGAAACACCATCAGTTGCCTCTGCACACACCCTAACTGGGGACTGAACCTGCAACCTGGGCATATGCCAGGATCAGGAATTGTACCAGCGACTACTCAGTGCACAGGATGACTGACACTCAACCAACTGAGCCACACCAACCAGGGCAGCCGTTCTGTTTTGAGTGTTTTGCCCTATTTTTCATCCTTTCTTTCACATTTCTATTGTATGCTTCCAGTCTTAGAGTTTCCATCAGACACATCAGCACCTAAAACTCACAGGCATCCTGTTTTATCTTCTGACTCCTCTTTGTAGCCAATCCTTTTATAATCTTAGATCAACTGTTTTATAATCATGGATTAGGGAACTGGTGGCCAGCTTGGGGCTCTATCTGTGGGACTCCTGGATGGTCTACTTTGCAGGCCAGTCCTTTTAGATGGTTTTTGCCTTTGCTCCCACCAGGTGCCCCAGGAGTTCCAGCTTGAGCCCATTTGGGGTGGTTCTCAGCACAGGGGTTCTGTCCCTACATGGCAGCAAAAACCTAAACCCCTTTTATTGCATCTGGGCTCTTTTTCAGCTTGCCAGTGATGTTTCTGAGGCTTCTCTTATTTCCTTATAAGTTGGTTATGCATTTATTTTTCCAGCATTGCTAGGTGTTCTGTAGTAGGAGGACTGTTCGAGGACTGTTCAATTTCATGGACAATAACACTGCTGGAAATGAAATTTGGCAACCCTCATTCTAAGTGATCTGGGCTTCCGTCTTGCTCTCAGCTGGAAACTGCAGGTGGAAAATTCTCCCCCACCCAGTTGAATGGGAATGCCTGAGATGTCAGGCTAATTCCTAGGAATGTCCCAGGTCGGTCCACCCACCCTCCCCATACTTCCTCCAGGCCTTTTTGGAACAGGAAAGAAGCTCTCAACCCTTGCCCTAAAAGTTTCACCCCTGCATTCACAGCCAGGTGGACTGTGGTCTAAGGCCTCTCCAACAGGACTGGCCATGTGCCTCAGTGGTTAGGAGCAGGGACCTTGTGTTCAGTGGGACCTGGGTTCAAATTCTGCTTGTGTTTAAATCTGGGTGACTGTGGACAAGTGACCTTTTTTCCCTTCTGAAAGTCTCAATAAGCACTGCAGTAAAAACAACCACACCAAATTATTGAAACAATCCCCTGTATGTATGTGGATTTTCAGTTATTTCTGATCTTTTGCTGGTACAATCAACAAATCAGCGAATAGTCCTGAGCTTGTGTCTTTGCTCACCTGCTAAGCACAAGTTCCTGAACCAGTTCTGGGGTCAAAGGGATGGGATGTGCAGTTTCATTATGAAATGCTCAACTGCTACCAACTTATACTTCCACCCATAGCATAGGGGTATGCGTCACACACAGTTTGCCATGTGGAAGCAAACTTTATTTTTGTCAATCTTGGGTTCCGAGTCTCACTTGAGTTTTAACTTGGTCTCACCTGTGTAAGGTTGGGCACCTCTTCAAACATACAAAAGCTATTGGCGTTTCCTTTGCTTCAAAAGCTCTCCCGAGTTCCTCGCTGCCGAGCACCATGTTAAACACTGACTGTCCTCAGAACCCCATGTGGGAGGGACTTTGATTAGCCTCCTTGCACAGGTGAGGGACAGTCTCTTCCCAGGGGCCACAGGGGCTGGGTGTGGAAGTCACTGTGACTTGCAACTGCCTCCAAGACCTAGTGGAAGTCAACCCCCTCTTGCTCTGATACCCTGGACACAAGGACGGGCTGAGGTTCCAAGGTCCTCAGGTGGGCCATCTAGAGACAAGAGCCCCTGAAGGGTGAGCTTCTTGCCCCTTGTGTCCCAGCTCTTGGCTGCCTGGAGCCTCTCCCTTTTCCTGTTTTGACTCTGGCTCAGCCAGGCCCAGAGACAGGAGCGTGATATCTTAATCCTCTAGGCGGGAGCCATGATGGAAGAGTCCCCATTAGCCAATTCACCTGCCAAACCACCTCTTACCCCCCCAACACATGCACTCCACCTGGTGCCTGACACAGGGGCTCCAGAGCCTCAGCATCCTGCCTACGTGGGGAGGGGTGCCACTGGGGGACCCACAGAACCCCATCACCTCTCCTTCCAGATGGCAGCTGGGGCAAGGACCCTGGTTGCTCACCCTGGGCTGGGCTGGGCTGGGCTGGGCCCTGGCTGCCGCCACAACTCTCATAAATCAAGGGGTAAAAGGGATGTCGGAAATGGGTCTGTGGAATGTCTGGATGTGGGGGTGAGCCCTTAACTCTTAGAAGGACAGAATGGGAGCTGGCCTGCCTGGATCTGAGGATGTGGGAGACAAGCTGGTGGGGAACATGGGGCCTTCATGCCTATGCAGCGGCCGGCAGTGAAGAGGTTATTTCCCAGCTCAGATGGGAATAAATTGAGAGGGCAGGGTATCCCCATTCTCAGGACCTGTTCGTCACAATGGCCACAGGAAGAGCCCTACTCAGCTCTCTGCTGCTCCTGTCCCTGCAGCTGGGTCTCGGTGGAGGCCCAGGTACTCCAGTGGTGGAGGGAATGCTCTCATCTGAGCCAGCAACAGACATAGGGACCTGGAAGCCACAGCTGGGTAAGGACCCCCCAGCACCCCATGTGACTCCCCAAGTCCTTCCTGGCCAATCCCTGCCCACTGTCAACTGCCCCTTGCCCCCTCAGGTGCCCGCCTGCGCCGAGCCCCTGCTGGCCCATGCCAGCTGTGGAGCTTGGCCCTGCCAGTGGCTGAGCTGGGCCTGGGCTACACTTCGGAGGAGATGATCATCTTCCGTTATTGTGCTGGCAGTTGTCCCCGAGATGCTCGCACCCAGCACAGCCTAACGCTGGCTTGGCTGCGGAGCCAGGGCCGAGCACATGGTAGCCCCTGCTGCCAGCCCACCCGCTATGCTGATGTGGCCTTCCTGGATGACCACCACCGCTGGCAGTGGCTGTCCCAGTTCTCAGCAGCTGCCTGTGGCTGCAGTGGCTGAGGGTGCCCGGACTGGGGCCCTGCAGCCACACCAGGGGTCTACTGACTTATTTAATGGAGACTTGGATGCTGAGAAGATGAGAAGACAAGGGTAGGCTGGGGCTGCCATCAAGGAATAAACAAAATTGCTCCTGGGTCCCTGTGACTCTATTCAGTGGGGTGTACCCTGACCCTGCCACCTTAGCTCCTAGTTGGTGGGCAGGTGGGTCCTGGGTTTCCCTTGCAGATCCCAGCCCCAGCCAACAGCCAATGCAAGAAAGGCTGACTTGTCCATTCCCTAGCTTTATTCACATAGTGTCTCTGAGAAGCTGGGGGAAGGGCATGGGGGGTCAGCAGGCTGGGGGTAGCTGCCCTGGCTCCTCTGGCCTCATCCCCTCAGGAAGGGAGCGGCAGATCACGGAGATGCGTCGGCCTCGGGGAATCCGGAGTCCCCCAAAAAAGGACTCTTCATCCCGAAGGATCTCATGGGAGAAGTCATAACGGGCTGAATCTCTGCGAAAGAAAACAGAGGCTGTGACTGGGTGGGGTGTTCTAGGCTGAGCGTCTGCTGTGTAGGGGATGGTAGTGTTTGCTGTAAGAGCTGAATGAAAGAAAGTGCTTGAAGTACCAGTTCCAGTGACTAGCGGGGTGGGGGCTCTTTGGCTGGTCAGTACCTAAGGATGTACAGTGAGCCTGGCTCCAGTAAGAGTTCTAGCCACTCCCCGGGCTCTTGGGTGTGTACCAGCCGCATGACGCTAGGAGACAGCAGGGACAGGCCAGCGATGGTGGTTCCGCAGAACTGGAAGAGGGTGCATGATGGTGCGTCAGGATCTGGCCTGGCTGGCCCAACCCCAGCTAGGAGCTCCAAAGTGCTGGCTTCTGCCTACCTTGATGCTGTCCACATGTGGCTTGATGTAGCCCCGAGGTTCCAGGTCCAGCACATGCACTGAGGATAGCAGGGTCTGGCCAGGGCCAAAGGCAGCAGCCTGCACACGCTGCAGGATGGCCCGGCTTGCCTCTGACCAGCGCGACTTTTCTGTCTCTCGAAAGCCGTGGATGGCCTGCATAGAGAGCTCAGATCAAGCCTGGAAATTCCTGGGGGGGGGGGCTTTGTGGGGGACGGACGGACAGGGAAACTGAGGTACAGAGTGCAGAGCAAGGGGCATGACCCTTGATTTCGACCTCAACTCACAAACGTTGTCCTATCTAAGCTATGACCCGAGGTCTCAAACCCTGACACCTGCCCTATTTAGTTTGATTTCAGCCTTTTATACCCACCCTCAGGCTCCAATGCCGGCCCTACCCCAATATTCAATTTTGTGTCAGTCTCCGCCCCCAAAACGGTGACCCTCCCTCATCTCGCTCCACACTCATTTCTCTCCCTAACCTTGGTCTTTTACCCCAACCCCTCAGTTCCTGGTCCTGCCTCCAGTTATGGCCTTGCCCTCATCTTCAAAGCGCTCTTTCTGCCCTCCAAGATCCCAAACTTCAAGATTGCGCTCCCTTCTCCAAGGTCTTGATTCCAGCCGTAGCCCCGCCCCACAGCGCCCCGTCCTAGATACCGCCCTCATTGTAGACCCGCCCCCTACACAGCACCACTCCCGCCCCGCCCCCAACGTCCCTGATCCGTCTCGGACGTGGCTCCGCCCCCCGCGCGGCCCCGCCTCCAGAGCCGCCGGCCTCACCGCGTCCCAGTGGTCGAATTCGTAGCGGCGGCGGCGCAGCTCGGGCTCCACCTCGCGCTTGAGCGTCTCTTCCTCGGCCGCGCTCAGGAAACCGGGCCGCACCACAGCCGCATCGCGCAAGCGTGTCAGCACGGCTGGGCCAGAGCCCCGCACCCAGCCAGGTCCAGGCAGCGTCCGCAGCGCCAGCCACCCGCTCCCGGCCATAGCCTCGGAGCCCAGGAGGGGAACCCGACGGGCTCAGGGCGACGCCCCCGTCCCAGAGCCTTTGGGTGCGGCTGCGCCGAGTCCCTCCAGCGGTTGGCTTTCCTCAGCGTCCCGCCTCTTGCTCGAGGCTACTGGTTGCTGCTCGGTTCTCCTTCTCAAGCTACTCTCCAGGGCCCGCCTCCTCTCCTGCGTCATTGGGCGCCATCCCTCAGTAACTTAAATTATTGGCTGTTCCGCAAGTCCGTCTTCCAGGAGGCAAAGGCAGGATCTGGCCCGGGTGGTTAGGTAGGGGTCGTAGAAATTGGACCAAGGTCGACGTTATGGAGTTGGCAAGGACTAGAGGTTAAGGGTGAAGAACAGTTAGACTGAGAGGAAGGGTTCAGGAGTACAAGAGTCAGAGGAGTGACGTCAGGTCACGATTATGGGACCAAGTTTACGGAGCGAGGGGTTGCCGCCAAAGGTCAAAGCCAGGCATCACCCATTTACCCGTCTCTGAGATTATTCCCACTCACATACAAATGGGTTGGTTTGCACCTTATAAACAATAAAAACAGCCCTGGCCGGTTTGGCTCAGCGGTTGGAGCGTCGGCCTGCGAACCAGAGAGTCCCAGGTTCGTGTCCCCCCCTTGAAGCACGGACCAAAAAAATTAAAAAAATAAATAAAAACAAAAAAACTTAATGGTACAATTGGCATATTACCATTTTGCAGCCCTTATTGGAATAATATATAGTGGATCTTGACAAGGATTCTCGTTGGCCCCTACAGTCACAAAAAGAGGGACAACTGAACTTTATGTGCCTCCTGATAGAAGCACACACCCCCTGCTAAGAGATCACTTGTCAAAAAGTGGAACCCGAATCCAATTAGATTTCTCTAGATTTATACTCCCAGTTACAGGAAATAGCAAGGATAGGTGTCACCACCTTTCCTGACCCAGTCGTCAAAATCCAGACTGAAAGTCCACAAGACAAGCTATTGTTTCTCCAACAAATGAATCCCAAGGAAAAAGACAGGAAAGGGAGAGCTTGAGAGAGAGATTATGGGGACACCTGCAGTTACAAGAGACTTAGAGATGTATTAACTAGTTGCAACAAGCTAGAAAAATAGAGACTAGGGAAATTTGGACACTGGATATTTATAAGTATTGTAATTTTTTTAGCTGTGAAAGTAGTATTGTGGTTGTCTTTTTGGAGAGTCCTTATCCTTTTAGACATACATACAGGAGTATTTACAGATATAATGAAAAACAGGATTTGCTTCAAAGTAATCCAGGGAAATGGGGGACAGAGAGGGAGGAATCAAAATTGGCCTTGAATTGATGTGATGGGTACATGAGGCCTCATTATCCTATATTTTCTGTTTCTGTATATATTTAAAATTGTTCAGAATGAACAGTTCAACCAAATGTAACTAGTAAAGATAGCCAAATTGAAAAGTCCTCTGGCCTGGCCAGTGTGGTTCAGTGGTTGAGCACTGACCCATGCACCAAGAGGTCACTGGTTCAATTCCTGGTCAGGGGACATGCCCAGGTTGTGGGCCTGATCCTTAGTGGGGGGCATGCAGGAAGTGTCCAATTGATGTTCTCTCTCATCGATGTTTCTCTCTCTTCCTTCCTCTCTAAAATCAATAAAGAAAAAAAAATTTTTTTTTAAAGTCCTCTTTATTTTATTTTTATTATTATTATTTTTTTTATCATCCTCACTCGAGGATATTTTTCCATTTTTTGTTCAGGTAGAGTGGGAGGGAGAGAGAGGAACAGAGAGAGAGAAAAACATCGATGTGAAAGGGACACATCCAGTGGTCACCACCCGCACAACCAACCAGGGCCGGGAACAAACTGCAACCGGGGTACATGCCCTTAGCGGGAACTGATCCCGGGTCTCTCCGGACCGCAGGCCGATGCTCTAACCGCTGAGCCAAGCCAGCCAAGGCAAAAGTCCTCTTAATTTTAAAAACATAAAATTCACCCCAATTCTCCATCTAGCCCCAGCCCCATATGCTCTGCTCCCCTTTACAGCAAAATTCCTTGAAAGATTTGTCTGGCTTCAGTATTTTCCAGCCCATTCTTTCTGGGCCCCCATAGCACTGAAAGGGTTTATTAAGACCATTTAGTGACTTCCACTGTGTCAAATCCAACTGCTAATTCTTAGCCTAACCACCGATTCATCAACAAGCTGATGTCTCCTACATTTTTATTTCCAACCCTGACCCATACTTACCCGTCCCCTGGGATGTGTGAGGTTCATCCAACATCGAACATAGCGTGTCTAAAATCAGCTTCTGATCACTACCCTGAAACCTGCACCTTCCGCCAGCCTTCTCATCTCAGTTAACAGCTCTCCATCTTTCTTGCTGCTTTGGGCCAATCCCTTGGAATTTATGAAGATTACTCTCAAATCTAACATTCCACCTGTCAGTTCTGCCTTTCAAACCTGGCTGGAACCTTACCTCTTCTCACCACCTGGTCAGGCCTTCAGCCTTCATCTGGATTATTCCAACAGTCTCCTAACTGGTCACCAGGTTTCTTTTTTTGTTGTTAATCCTCACTGGAGGATATTTTTTCCATTGAGTTTTAGAGAGAGTAGAAGGGGGGGGGAGAAACATCGATGTGAGAGAGACACATCGATTGGCTGCCTCCTGCTTCCGCCCCAATCAGGGATAGGGATCAAACCTGCAACCCAGGTTCATGCCCTTGACAGGGAATCGAACCCATGACCCTTCAGTGTGTGGGCCGACACATTAACCATTGAGCCACACAGGCCAGGGCTAGTCTCCAGGATTCTGAGCTTGCTGCACTCCTCCCACATCTCCATGGGAGCCACAGTCATACTTCTTTCTGTTCCTCTTCTCAAATTCCCTGAGGTTTACCTCCCTCCTTGCTAAGCCCTACCAGGCCTTTTGAGATCTGTACTTCTCCCCTTTCTACTCTAATCTTTTCTGCACTAGCCTTATGGTTCCTCCTAGGTGCCAGGCACAGTCCTGCCTCAGGGCCTTTGCAGTCACTATGCCTTCTGCTTGGACTACGCTGTCCCAAGATTGTACCACAGCTCCCTTCCTCACCTCCTTCAGATCTTTGCTCAAATGTCACTTTTTTTTTGTTAATCCTCACCTGAGGATATTTTTCCATTGATT